TCCCTCCTCCCTCCTACCTCCTACCTCCTCCCTCCTCCCTCCTCCCTCCTCCTCCCTCCTCGATGCTCCGAGGCCGACCGCCGGAGGGGAGCGCCCCGCGGTCTGGAGGGGAGCCGGCGGCGCCGAGCCCTCGTGGGGAGCGGCGGCGCGCGGGCGCCGCGCGCTCTCGGCGCGCCCGGGGCGCGGCGGCCTCACAGAGGCGCCCCGAGTCGGGACGCTCGACATGGGTACTGAAAGAATGGGTTCCTGTTCATTCTGGACAGGGCTCGCTGTCCACGCCGCCGCGGCCTGTGTCCACTCGCAACAGGAGGCCGCCTGCCCAACAGCGACCGCTGTTGGTTTGGGACAACCTTCGTTGTTGGGCATTGTGCCCATTGTTTCCGTACCCATTTCGGGCGTCCGAGGAGGCGCCCCGAGGGCGCCGGGCGAGGAGTTTTGTCTGTGCCCGGCGGTGCGGGGCGTTCGACGGGCGAAGCTCGACTAGATCGGTGGCGGAAAAGAGGGGGGTGATGACTAGGGGGGGGTGGATATCATGTCGGGGTCCATGATTTCTCCCCAGATTTCCTGGCTATTTCAGTACGTCCCTGGCCCCCCCGCTGGGCCGCGCACATGCCGCCGGTCATGATTTGCACCTCCCCTCTTGGACACCCCCCTCTTGGCCGCTCCCGACTAGACTGAAGTCGGGCCTGTCCCCCTACAGGAGGAATATTCAAGAATAGTCAAAAGACAGTCCGGGGACTATTTTGGTTTTTTTTCTGCCATTTGGGAATCTTTCGGGAGTATTTTAGATTTTTCGTCGAAAATCCCCCTGTAGGGGGACACGCCCGACTGAAGACTAGACGTAAGAGTGACGTTTCGCCGAAGTGACCTTTGGTGCGGGCACAGATGGGCCCCCAGGTGGCTGAAAACGAAGCAGGAGCAGCGGCTTGCGCGCCCAGGTGTGGTCTCCCCGCGGCCCCCAAGAAGCTGCGCGCCTTACCCAGGGCCACTCTTGCGTGTAGCCGCGAAGCGATGTGGGCGACGATCAGTGTGCCAAATAGTGCCAGCCCCGCCCCCGATGATCAATTCTATACCCTCCCCCTTGACCACCGAGTGGTTATGTTATTCAAGCATTGGCGAAGCGTCCCGGCTCGCCTATAGGCCTACCGGACGATGTTCTGAGTGGGAACCTTTTGGTGGTTTCCACGAAATGTTTCTAGAACATTCCTGGCCGAGCCTGTCTTGTTTTATCGCATCGGATTTATGTTCTAAGAACATCGGTCTTGTTATTCGAAGATTCTTGGGTTCTAAGAACATTTCGTGATAGGACTATAGGAATGCCGGGACGGTCGGTCCCTGCTCGACAGTGGGCCAAATAGAACCGGCACCCCCCGATGATCAATTATACAGCTTCCCCCTAAACCACCGAGTGATTATGTTATCCACGGCCAATGCAGCTTTGGTCGGGGAAGAGTGTCGACTAGACATACGAGTGACCTTTCGCTGAAGTGACCTTCTGATGCGGGCCCAATTGTGTCCCCCGATCGCCGAACGCGATGCAATAGTAGCGTCCTTCGCGCTTCTGTGTTGTCCCCCCGCGGCCCACAAAAAACCGCGCACCAAATGTCACTCTTACCCAGGGCCACTCTCGTGTAGCCGAGAGGGGCGACAAGGCGCTCGACGGCCTGAGAGTTGTGGACGACGATCAATGGAGAGGAACCACGTGGCCAAAGCATTCGCAGATGTCTGGCAAGTGTTGCAATCATGTCTGGAACATGTAAACAACATGTGCTCGGCCGTGCGTTCAGTGCCGTTTTCGATGCATGCTCCGCGTGCGGACCATGTATTTTTAAAAAACATAGGGTTGATTTATAAATGCAAGGATGAGTTTATGCATTACTTTTTTTCTAGATGGACCACGTATTGTAAATCCGATGTTTTCACAAATGTGCTCGGCCGTGCGCTGGGGAACGGACAATGACACAAACAGAACAACTCGGAGGTCCGCGCGGACTTCTCGGAGCGGCGCCGGGGCCCCCGCTGGCGCGCTCCGCCGGCGCCGCCCCCGGCGCGCTCCGCGCGCGGGTCCGGCGCCGCGCCGAGAAAGCCGCGCGGGCCTCCGAGTCTCCAGCAGTGGCGGAGCGTCCAAACAATGTTCTAAGAACCTCCTCCTCCTCCTCCTCCTCCTCCTCCTCCTCCTCCTCCTCCTCCTCAATTACTCAATATGAATACTACTCTCCCTCTTCCCCCGATCAGCTGCGAGGAAGAGGACGCGGCTCGCCGACAGCCCTGCCAAACAACTCTGCACGCCCGAAATGGGTATTGAAAGAATGGGTACGATGCCCAACAGCAGTTCTTGTTCATTCTGAACAGGGCTCGCTGTCCGCGCCGCCGCGGCCTGTGTCCATTCGAGACAGGAGGCCGCCTGCCCAACAGCGGCCGCTGTTGGCTTTGGACAACATTTGTTGTTGGGCATAGTGCCCATTTTTTCGGTACCAATGTCGGGCGTCCAGAACAATGTTCTAAGAACCTCTTTGAGGGTTCCACGACATGTTCTCAGAGCATTCCTGGCGGAGTCTGTCTTGTTTTAGCACATCGGGTTTATGTTCTAATGCCGGGACGGTCGGTCCCTGCTCGACGAGTTGCTAGGCTTGTGTCATTTCGCGTGCCCCATCGGCATGGCGGAGAGGTCGGCTCCGCCCAGCTCTCTCGGGGGCCACATGCGAACCCTACTCCTACCCCCTACGATTTCTGAGGGGTAGGGTGGGGCTCACCTCCTCCAGGAGCTCCCGAGCGAAGCGAACCCCACCCTCCCCCTCAGAAATCG